TCAGGAGATTTGAGGGCTCCCATCTGGCAAAGAGTTGTGTGGATTTTATCATTTGTTAAAGGCTGAAGAAGCACTTCATTTTGACTATCCAAGATTCTAGCAAAGTGGAGGTGGTCTAACTCAATGGGGGGGATCCTAGGAACTTGGCTTACTGAACAAGTGTTGAAAATGTTGCACTATTAATTGAGTGAGATCCTCTTTTTCTTCAATCCACCTTCATTCTGCATTCATCGGCTTAATAATGTTGTTCACTTGTCTCCTTTGCATGGTTGCTTGGTGGAAGTATTTTGTATTCTGATCTCCTAACTGCAAGTGGTTAACTCTAGATTTTTTAAATCATAACGTTTCTTCATTTCTAAGGACCTTTTGCAGCTCTTTTTTTTCTTTTGGAGTAACTCATTATTGTCTTGACTCCATCTCAATGCTTAGAGTGAATTGATTTGTGATTTTAGTTGTTTCTTCTCGAAAACATTCCAAAAAATTCTCTAATTCCAAACCTTCATCTCCTAAGCTATCTCCTCTGATTTCTGTTTGAAGTCTAATATCATGGTCAATCTGCCTCTCTTGATCCAAGCTTGGTTAAAAATGTGATTGCACTCTAAATTATTTAACCACATAATTTCAAACTTGAAGGGCACCTTCCTTCTAAATCTTTGTTTCTACAACGTGAGAATGATTGCACAGTGGTTTGATTCCATTGCTACTTCATGAAATACTTTCGCTTTTGGGAAGAGAGTGTTCCAAATCAGGTTATAGACTGCCCTGTCAAGTCTCCCCACCACATTTTGGTCTCCTTGTCTATTATTACTCCAAGTGAAGCCCGGTCCCCGATATCCCATATTTGTTATGCCACATGTCTCCAGAGCCAACCGAAAACTTGCCATTTTAGCCTGATTGGGTTTCTTCCACCTCTCTTCTCCCTCCAACTTAAGATCTCATTGAAATCTCCAATAACTAGCTAGGCCCCACTAATGCGGGCCCTTGAGTTTGCTAACTCTTGCAAAGTAAAGGTCATGTTACTCTGTTCTGGCGCTCCATAGATAAAGGATGTTGTGAACTTGTCTTTAGAAGGAAGTTCTACCTTCACTGTAATTAGGTTACTAGAGGAAGAAATGATGTTTAAAAATAGGTTCTCCATGCACATGACTATTAAACCCCCCCCGAAAGACCTCGAGGAGACACTGAGAAACTGGAGAGGTAACCCAATCACCTATTGATCCTTCCCATGGCCTTCGGGTTGGTTTTGGTTTCCATTAGAAAGATAAGACTAGGGTGATAGGTCCGAGCAATTTAAGAAAGGTATTGGACTGTCAGGGGTTGCCCCATTCCTCGACAGTTCCAAGATATCCAATTCAGTGTGTTCCGTGGGACTACTAAGTAGCCTCCACCGATCTCTTTGTGGCCATGGCCAAGTGTGTCAACATTTAGTATAAACATTTGCTGATTTAATGGTTTGAATTCCTCGATGTTGAGCTTTTATAGAGCCTCCTCCATCTCCCTTCCTCTTTTTAACGAAGTTCTTGTTCCTTCAAGTTTTCCTGTTTTCTCTTCATTCCCACCCTAAATTTCCTTTCCACCAACTTTTGGTTTGCTAGATATCACTAGTGTAGTCTCAATAGACACAACCTCTTTTGTTTGTTTCCCTAGCACCTCTCCTCCCACTTTTTGGTTTGTCGTGCTTTTCTCAGTATAGAATTCCTTGATGATGATACCTTTTGATCTATCGTAGAGAATATTTCCTTCCACCCCACCTTTTTCTAATCCCCTGTACGGGTCGTTATCTGATTCTTTTTCCAAGTAATCCACAATGACTGGCCCAAAAATATTCAAATCACCTCTTTTGATTGTTGCTCCTCCAATCACCCCCGCTAGTGACCCTTCTCATGTGTGTATTGCTCAAAGCCAAGGTCCATATCTCCTAGATGGGATCTCCTCATTTGATTCGTCATCATCCGCCACTTCCCCACGTAAACTCAACAGGTGCCCCAATCTCCCACACTAGTAGCAATAATTCAGGACTCATTCAAATCTGAACTCCACCCATCGTCTAGATTGATTATCTTTGATGTTGATCCATTTTCTTGTCTTCAAGGGCTTTCCCAAATCAATGGTAACTAGGATTCTCATGTAACCATTGACAAAGTTCTACTCTAAGTTGTCCTTGTCCACCCTTATAACTTCTCCGTCATGTTTTGCGATACGCCTAGCATTCTTCTCATTGGTGGCTTCCATTGGGATTTGGTGGATTTGCATCCACAACCAACATGAGTTGAGTTGGACATCATTGCTATCGCAAAATGTAGATACTCCTTTATTTCTAAGGATTCAACTCATTGAGCTGACTTAGAATTTTGCAAGAACCACACCAACCTGCCATCCACATTTGTGTTTCTACGACATCTTAACTTTACGTTTTCCATGTATTTTTTTTTCTGAAAGTGCCCATTAATTAACAAACAAATTTTGTAGTTTTTGGTTGTTTATGTGTTCAGAAGTGGCTAGAGATAGAGAGGTTGACATCCCAGAATGAAATAAGTTTTTTCAATTTGACGTTTCAAGAAATCCCTCTTTTCTCGAATCCCTAGATTAATCATTGCAAAAGCATTTTTTTTAAGAAATAGACTATCAAAATGCAGTCTTTTATTGATTTCGTTTTTTCCCTGATGTGGCACTGAATCCACATCAGTAGGATTGAATATCTCATGAAACACCTCGGTCCCAAGCACCCAAAAAAAGAACCACAAGGTGGAAAACCCCATAATCAGATATACAAAAAATGAAATCCAACCCAACCCGATATGATATTTGCTTGGAAATTGTACCTAAATATACTAAAACTACGGAGAAGTACATTGCAGCCCCCCTATAAACCACATCATGCCCGTGGATTTTGGCATCAATCCACGGTCAGGATTCATCTCACTTGTACAGTGGGGTTAAGAATTATGAAGTGGTCTGAACAGTCATTCTCCCCTAAAACTATACCATATTAATCGATGTATAGGTTACGTTAGGTGATGGCGTGAACGAAGCCTTTAATGGGCTGCATGACCTAAATTTGTCAATTTGACAACTCTAAGTAACTATCTGCCTACTTGGGACCACGCCTGTAGGTTTGGACAAAGAATAAATAATCCATGTCTACTGTGTAGATGTCATATGATCTAACCAAATAATGATGTTAAACACTTTGGATTTTTAGACTGCACTCCATCTCAGAATTCTGATTTGAACTGCAGATCTACAACAATTCAAAATTATAAACATTTTCACCTATAACACCCATACCCACCTATAAATTGGCATCAATTCTGAGCTGACACCTAACCCTAAACTATAATGTGAAGGTAGGATTTTTTGGATGAACTGAACAGTAAAAACTCCTTAACTTTATTCATGCGTTTCTTTCATTATTTCACCCCTTTTTTTTATTTCGTAAAATATGGATCCAACGGACCCAATTGGACCTTTCAGGATGCAGATGATGCAAGAGAATCTGGCCTTAACATTTAAAATGATGGGCACAACTCTAAACAGGACGGGACTTGGGTTTTTTAAGTTTTGCGTTGCTTGAATGCAATCCACATCAACCAATTTGACTGGATAGACCGATTTTCATATAATAGTACCTAAAATACAGTGGCACAGTACTACACTCTACGGTGTGTATAGTAGTGGTAATGTGGTACATTAATTGTAAAATATAATTTGCTAAAAAACCCTGGAAATCTGACCAACCCATCTAGTTCCAACTTGTGCTCGGGTTTAAGTTGGATTGGGCTAAGACCAGCCGTCTCGAGTTCGTCCTCAGGTTTGGTCGGTCCCTAGTAATAATTGGGTTTGAGTTGACCCTAATCTTGACTCAAACCTTGTGGAATTTCAACCCTCGACTACGAGGGTCCTCAGCTTAAATCATTAAACTAAAAGACTACGTTGATAGTGAATTTATTGGAATTCCCACAAGTTGCCAGATGTCTCGTAGGCCAAAGTGAATGTGTACTGTTTGAAAGAGATTGACTATACCAAAAATCATCGACCCCAGTCCTTCAAATTATGTGGCTCGAACCTCTCCTCAAGTCTGTCTTAAACCGCTCTGAAATTTTTGGTCCAGCGTAACTGATATGGACACTAATTCAATAATTCTGAATCTGGTGGATCCAGAAGGAGGTTGTGCTTGTTTTTTAGCCGACTGAATGCACCCCCCTAATATAGCATATAGCTCGTTGTGACCTGATCCTAATTCAGGCAATTGAATCTCATAGTTCCTCAATAGAGAAGATACTTAAAATAAAGCTAAAGGAATATTGAAATTGGTTTAGATACAATCCAAGGTATTTGAGCTGAGAGGACCCTATCAGAATTCACAAACCCTGCAACTGCACAAACATAATCCAAGGCCCATATTCAGGGTTGGTATTGATTTATAAAACCTCAAGTCAGGAACGGCCCATGTGAAAATTGGTATTCAATGAATTAAGCCCACCTCTGCAATGTGCGAGTGCGACCACCAAAGAATCCACTCTTGCGACTCATGAACATATCCACCATGCATTAGAAATATTTCCGATGAATAATAACTTATAATTAATGGAGATGTTCTCAATGCATGATAGATATGCGTGTAAGGTCGGTGTGAGGCGTCTTGTATAAAGAAAGCAAATCCGGCCTCGATTTCAACTAAATAGAGTTTACGAGACTAGATCTGCTCCTCATACTTGGGCGTCTTGCACATCCACTGTGCATTGAAAACATTTCCCATGAATAAAACTTAAAAGCACGGTAGATGTTTCAATACGCGTATGAGGCGCCCTCCGTGAGGAACAGTATTGCCATATTACTTTTAGTTGACCTCACCTAGATTCACTAGTTTCGTTTTATCTGATTTTTTTTTTTCTGAAATCCAAATGTCAATCAATCACGCCTTACAAAATCTATGGCCCATTTGTTGGACGGTGCAGATGATGCATCATTACATTTGCTTTATGTGTTAATAATTTGACTGAAATAAAATAATAACCATATCCCTCAATACTCGATAAACGGTAAACAGTATTACATCAACAACCCCAATAAAGAACAGGCAAATGAAAAGGAAAAACAAAAAGGAAGAAAAGAAAAAAGAGAATTCCATTGCTCTTTCTTATGGTCAATCCTTTCTATTTTGATGAATTTGGAAGTAGGATTCAGGTTGAGACTTGAAATCAGCTGATGCGGCGGCAGAGAGTGATACCGTCGCCGACGGGGAGCTGGCAGATCTCGATCCTGGGATCCACAGCCAGGGCTTTGTTAAGCTCCAACACGAAGTCCCTGTAATACCTGACGTACTTACGGAGGGGCGTGTCCGGCGGAGCCACCACCGACCCGTTCCAGAGGGTGTTGTCGTACCCAATTACACCCCCGACCTTCACCAGCTCTATTAGCCTCTTGTGATAGTTGAGATAGTTGTCCTTGTCCGCGTCCACAAATATGAAATCGAACGTCCCATGATACTTTCCCTGTAAATTCATTCATATTCACAAAGCCCTGATATCAATAAATCCACCGTTTCTTGTTGATTTAACGATTAAAGGAAGAACGACTCAGAGATGGATGGTGGTGGATTAATGAGGAGGAAAGGATTAGGTACTTACGTCTTCGATCATTTGGTCGAGAACAGGCAGAGCAGGGCCTTCCTGGAAATCGATCTTGTGGGCTACTCCCGCCTTTTGAATTACCGGCAGGCCCAACTCGTAATTCTCCCGATTGATGTCCATAGCCAAAATCTGAATAAATCGGCAGCCAATATTTTAATGTTCTGTTAAATTATTCTCTGTTTAATTATTTACATTATGCAAAGCAGTTTTGGGTACCTTTCCATCGTCGGGGAGGGCAAGGGCGGTTGCAAGAAGAGAATATCCGGTGTAAACGCCGATCTCCATGGTATTCTTGGCGTTAATGAGTTTGAGGAGAATGTTCAAGAACTGACCTTCATCGGCGGAGGTTGTCATGATATTCCTGTTTTTTCCCATGGAGATTCATATATTAATTAGCTCCAGTCCCACGAAAACCTCTGTTTAATATGGACCAAAAATCATATGAGATTAGGGGATTGAGACCCACCATGGATGTTTCGCTGTCAACTCTCGGAGCTCTTTCATGGCCTCTGGTTCTCTGGGGTACACGCTGGTTTCAAGTATGTACTGCAGAACAGAGGCAGATTTATCAGGAAAAATAGCATTCCGAATTCAAAGGAGAACGAGTATGGAGAGAGAAGAACAAATAAATTTAGATGAGATTGAGAAGAGAAGTTGCTTACTTGATAGAGAGCATCACTTTGGAGGAGACTCTTGTGGCCGACCTCCTGATGTCTTCCGGCCTGGTTGTTTTGTTGCTCTTCCTGCTTGGTTGCCATTGATAGCGTCTTTCTGAGACTCTTCCTCTGTTTCTTTTTCTCAGATTTCTTTAGCCTGTATAACCCTCCCTCAACTGATTACAAAAGAGAGAGGAAGGGAGTAGTATTTATTAAGCAGCATTGTCGGAACTGGTGGAAGATGGTTCCACTGACCGCCCGCCCGCCAGCCGAATGGGAGATTGTAGTTTGGGAGTTGGTGAGCTCCCTCCAGCCTGGTGCCTGGTGCGGTCCACAAAACCCCACTGACCAAATCCTTTTAACTACATTGATGTGGACCGGCCCACCCACTCTTTTACTGGTCGTAGGTGGAGGCATAAATTATACTTTACACCTCTTGTTTTTTATTCTCTAGTACTTCCCATCACTTTTTCTCCATTTCTCTTTTGTATTTACCTGACTTTTCAAAACCTCTGAAACCCCTCATATCTACTCTTTAGAGATGAACGGATTTTGTAAATTTATATCGTGGTTCTAAAAATCGGACCGGACTGGACAGTAGGACCAATTGACCCTGGGAATAAGAACAAACAACCAATTGACCCTGGGACCAATTTATATCATAGTTTGAATCACTATTTTCAAAACTTGATCGGACCGGAATGACTGATTCCGTTTTTTTTTTCTAAAACTGTTGATTTTGGTCAGTAAACCGTTGAACCGGCCAATTAACTGTTCAAACTGTTTGAACCGTTCGTACGATATTGTCCGTTTTTCAATTTTTTATTTTTTTTGTCAGAACTGGCTGACCGTTCGGATTGAACAGTTAGACCGTTCAAACCGATAACCAGACCCCTGACCGATTCGATCACCAGTTCATTTTTAAAAACCATGATTTGAATAATGCTCAAAGTATAACCAAAATGGCAACAAGAACAAACAACCAGAAACTAAGTAATAATATTACAAGACTAAACAGTAAGAATAGTGGGTTCATTTGACTAAATAGTAAAATTAAACTAAATAACTAGACAAGAAGTAATCTGAGCACTCTAAAGTGAACAAATTGCCAAATCATCAAATTTGGATTAAAGGGGATTTGAAGGTTGCCAATTGTCATAAACTGCCTTCTAAGAGAAAGATCATCTGCAGGAAAACGAATTAGAAATAACCTACACCCACAGTTGGAGAGAAGGAAATCAAGTAGATCCACTCTTACACATCAGTCACTGGATCTATTATCTACGCCGGGTCAGTCCCATGAGATCTTCAGTACAACTGTAATATATGAACATCTGCAGCGTTGTATTTCTCAAAAGATTGGCATAATTTACTCTCCCTTTTTTTAAAAAAAAAGGTCAAGTTAAAGTTAAGAAAATGATAAAAAAAAAGTGAATGGAGTTTTGGATAATAACATTTTTCTGATAAATGGGATACTCAAGAATAAGTAGCCCTCCCCCAACTCTCAATCTCCCTAATCTTTGGTAAAGGTAGGGGTGCAATTTGGGCGGGCCCAACCTGAGTCCATATTGATTCGATCAGTAATTTTGTGGCTGGGCTTGGGCTTTTTGTTTTTGGGCTGGGCATGGGTCCAAAGGTTTTTGGGCTGGGTATGGGTCCAAAAGTTTAAGCTTTTAAATTTTTGGATTAGATTCGAGCCTAGCCCTTAGTTAGTCCTGATTTAACCTGACCTTCTTCCAATCCAAGCCCGACCTGATTATATACATGTAAACTTATTTATCTATCTATCTATACATATTGCATGCATACTACATGTATGTACAGTTTTTTTAATAAACAAGACATATATGCTTACATGTAGATACACACATGTATATCACTTTTTAGTTTTTAATATAGGCTAATTGACCAACTTGAGCCTCACCCAAACCCTGATGCAACCCGAGTGCATCAAATTTTTGTGTGGGTTGGGCTCAAGCTAAACAATTCAGGCTTGACCTCAAGCGGGGGCTGGACTTGAGTTTAGGGTTGGCCCTGAAGCTAAAACCCAATCCAACCCACCTAACTTGCACAACAAGGATTCGAACCTAATCCTTCAGTATTCACTACAACCAGAGAAATGTTTAGATTAGGGTGGATTCGAGCTAAGCCAAGCCAAATATCTGATAATTCAAGCTTAACTCAATAGAAAAAAACATGAAGCTCAAGTTTAGGATTGAGTTAAACTTGAGTTAAAAACATGAAATTGAATTTGGCTCAATTCAAAAGCTCATATATTCAAGTTTGACTTGGATCAATGATAACATATAAAAAATAAAAAACATACATAAAAAGTTTATGTAGAAAATATATATAATATACATATAAAAGATTATTTATCATTGTACATAGAACAAATTAAGAATATTATATAAGTTGGAGTGGCCATGTTTGGGAGTGCTTAAGTTAAAACTTAAAAGTATGTGCTTATTTGAATAACCACTTATTTCATATTGGGCATTCGGTAGTGTTTTTCTCCAATAAGAACTTAAACAAACATTTGTGACTATTTTGTCCTATATTTTCTTTCAAAATTTACAAAAATACTTTTATAAAAGTACTTCTATGAAAGCATTTTAATAAAAGCACTTTTGTAAAAGTACTCTTACGAAAGCACTGTTATGGAGACTATTTTGTCCTTTATTTTTTTTATACCTAAACAAGCATTTGTGACTATTTTGTCCTTTATTTTATTTCAAATTGTATAAAAGCACTTTTACAAAAGTACTTTTACGAAAGCATTTTAATAAAAGCACTTTTACGAAAGTACTTTAATAAAAGCATTTTACAGAAGTATTTTTATAAAAATATTTTTATGAAAGTACTTGAATAAAGATCAATTAGGGATAGTTTTATAAGTGGTATTTTAAAATTCAACTAGGGATAACTTTGGAAGGAAAAAAAATTGAATAAGTACTTATTGTATAAGCACTTAAAAAAAATTGGAAATTTGGACTTGAAAATAAGCTCCTATTTTTAAAATAAATACTTATTTTGGGCTTATTTTTCAAACACCAATAAGTGCTTAATGATGTATTTTTTTTTTCAAATAAACTTAATGATATAATTCTACTCCAAATAAGTACTTATTTTTAAGCACTCTCAATTCCCAAACATAGCCTAAACTTGCAAAATTGATGAATCGAATTTCATTGAACTTGTGTTTAACTCGAAGCTTGGATTAAATCCATACGAATCAAGATATTCACAAATTGAGCTCGAATACCTAAAGAATAAATGCTTGGTTTGTATAAATAAATAAATAAAAACAAGAAAAATGTGAATCTCATGGGCATGTCTTGACTCTTGAGGTAGAAATGCCAAATGGACAATCGTCGTGATTCTCGCTTGATAGCGCGTTTGGTTCACCCACAATTTCATAGCTTGGAAATTGAAATATTAAAAGAGGTGGTGGGACCCTTCCACCAACCGCTATCTCTTACTTCAACACCAATTACGAATTACGATCTATCACAAAATTTTACTGTCCCTTTTTTATCAAAGAAAGAAAGAAATTTTAATTTACTGTCATGTCACAAAGTCGACTACTTACTATATTTTTGGTAAGATGAAGATCATTGCAATTAGAAAAATAACTCCACTCTTAACGTAAGGATTCTAGCAAAAACCAATAATAAAATCATATATATATATATATGTCCAACTGTCTATATCCTTTTATGCAAAAGAATCATGTAGAAGCATCATTTTATATAATGGTTACCAAACGCATTGTGCATCGTATATTGAGGTAAATGTTGATTAATTTTTTATAAATAAAAAAAAAATGGAAAGACAAGTCAATGAATTCCATGCCACACCATGAAATTTAAATAGGAAAAAAATACAAAATGTAGATGTAGGTAAGTAGAAGTGATCACGGTGTTCATGCATTGGAATTCTGGTCAAAAGTAATATATAGGAACAAGCAGGTCCATTACCAACCACAACGTAACAGGTCATATTTGTTGGGGATTGCGACCTGTTGATTGATTTGTCTATTTCCACTAGAATCCTACAAAAGTTTTGCTTGGACCTAAGCAATAGAATAAGTCTTTGATTGTTAGGTACTTGCAATCAGCACATGCCAGCATTAGTTGGGGATAATGCAGAAAATTCAGAGAGAAAAGTAAGAGTTTATTTAAGAATGCTCATTGCATCGTCTCACGGCTCTTTAATTAAACTTGTCACGGTGAAATGCAAATGCAATAGTTGAGCAAAGCTAATTTAGAATGGCCTTATTATCGATACGTATCCGTAGAGATGTAACAGTGCTTGCATATAAGTGAAGATATTTTTATTTTTTCAAAATTTGGCTTTTGACAAAATATTTAAACATATTTTTATTAAAAAAGAGTGAAATCCCAAAACACCTTTGTTTTATCTGTCGTAGCTCAACGGAAGAAAGCTTTCCTTCGCGCGCCCAATCGCTGGAAGGAGATCTACTCGCTTACAGACTTATTACAGTCTCACAGGCTTGTCACGGCCATGTGCTTTGGAGTTTGGGTCTTTGGGGTAATAACACCGAGCCGGCCATTTTGGTAACAAAAACATTAAGCCAACGTAAAGCTTAAATTCGGGTTCTAGTTAGTTATTGTTAGTAATGACTAATGAGTAAGGGTGTTAATTCGACTGTATTTGGTTTAATCTGTTCCGGTTAAATGTGAATACATTACAAATGCATCAGGTGTAATCCAATCCAAAGAATATTTTGGATTATATAAAACTAGTCCAATTTAATGCTTGGACTATCTAATCTAGTTAAATTTGTTTTAATTTAGATTAGTTCTAACGTAAACCTGATCCATTGACGCCTATTCACCTATGTTCTTCATGGATCAGATATTGGCTCAATCTAACCCAATCCAATATAAATTCATTACAGATGGACCAGGTCCAATTCAATCCAATAAATATTTTTGACCATTAAGTCTCGACCAGTCCAATTCATTATGTCTTCTTGGTCTATCCATCCATCGAATTTGATTTTGGTTTGGACAGGTCCAATCCAAAGCCAGTCCAATATTGACACTCCTAGTAATGAGTAAGCCCGATAATTCATTAAACATTATCTGAATGAACCAGGAAAGCCGGGTAAGCACAAGTACAAGGACGATTGGACTACTCTAAACCCATTCCAGTCTACGATCTAAACCGGAGAATTACTGATGTGGGCACCATTAAATTTTCACTTAAACTCAATATGGAAATAGTATAAATA